TGGCTGCTACCTGCTTGTGAGTGGACAGGAGGAATTGAAGAGATGGGGTGGGGTGGGGGGTAGACAGGGGTGTGGTTTTATGGGAGGAGTCAAAGGCGTTGATGATGGTAACTATGGCGGTGGTGGAAATTCCCTGGATTTCCAATTTGCAGTGATTCATAACCAAAAAATATGAAAAATCAGCAGAACAGAGATTTACTTTATCGTCATTATTATAATTATGATAACTATATGGTCATTATTATTTATCTTTACCATAGCTATAATTTTTAAATTGTTTTATTAGATATTTATTAGAGGAGAAAAGCAATTAATTAAATTGTGACGATATCCTAGATGCGGCCTTAAATTCCAGTTTTGTTCCGTTACCGAGACTGCTCTCTTCTGGGGACGTCGGAGCGTGTCCCGGAGCGTGTCCCGGAGCGTGTCCCGGAGCGTGTCCCGGAGCGTGTCCCGGAGCGTGTCCCGGAGCGTGTCCCGGAGCGTGTCCACTGTGCAGCCCTGTATCCACTATTTATTATGCTTTTAAGGGCTCTTTTGTACTGTCTTCAAGTGCATTGGTTGTTTTTCCTCTTCTCTCAGATTATCAGGGAAATGTAGTATTTTCCAGTGAATTAAAAAAAAAAAAAAAAAACCTCTGAAGATCAGGGAATAGTAGGGCACGCATCAGGGTGGGGAAAAGATTTATAAAGGAGAGGAGAAAACGAATAGCAGGGTGTAATGACGTGTAAAGGTCGTGCGGGGCGTGAAACTACCTTTCCATCTTCCTTATGCTGAATGTCTCTTCTGTGTTGAGCTATGCAAAGCAAACTGAGATGCAGGTGTGTCTGTGCGCTGAGATCCCCCCCCCCACAGGGCCTGCGAACATCCCGACTGGGGGGGGTCGCTCTACTGCGCTGTGACGCGTACCCGGCCGTGCCCTGGGGGGCTGCGGGAGCAGCAGCTGTCTGGGACGTATGGTGACATGGGCCGGGCGCTCTAGAAGGAACGCATCAGTTGTGCCCATTTGTTGAGCTGTCACATTAGCCCCCCAGTCCCCCCGAAATGCTGCCGTCAGCACGCCCCGCTCAGACTCTTTCTCTTCCATGTGCTGCACCTGTCCCCTGGTTGAAAGCGGTGGGGGGGGGGGGGGGGGGGGGGGGGGGGGGGGGGAGGCTGGCCGTTGGGAGAACAGGGGCTGGGGACTCTGCATCTTTAAGCCCTCCCGTGCTCTATCAGCAATGCCGAGGGGGTGGGGGGTCGCTCCATGGCGCCGAGGTCCAAGTAAACGTCCCCTTCAATCCCGGTGACCGGACTGCTTCCTTGTGAAATGGCAGCGTTGTTACTTTAAGGGGGTCAAGTATGTGGCTCTGTCTGTGCCTTACATGTGTTGAAATATTTAAGAGAAAAGAGATCTAATATTTAAGGTATTTATTTTGACAGTCTGACAATGTTGCGCACTGTGGACCTGGTGACAGTTACTGTATGACTGATATGTATTCATCTCATGGCATATAAGTTATTGAATAGGCTTAGTCGTAGTAATATTAACATATTCAACCAAAAATGTTGACGTAGGATTTATTTAAGATACAATTCTGTACCTGCACTGTACTATTATACATATAATTTTTTTTTTCTTCAAATTTTAGGATATATGAAATATTGGCTAGTTGAATGCCTTTCGTACAAAGCCTGTTTTAAATGCGGGCCTTTAAATACAGACGGTATTCTGGCCCCTTTCTGTGTTTAGAGATTAGACGACGGAAAGATGAGGTTACCACCAAGAGGAGCACAGAATGCTGCTTATTACACTAGAATGTACGATCTTTGTCTGAATAAGGTAGCTGTGCTTCTACTGCTTTTATAATTCACCATATGGACTCTTTTACACTATTGGGAATTTTTATACTTGAACTATTTCTTACAAGGGAATACATGAGAATAAAGGACAAATAAACTTTTTAAAAAAGCTTTTCATCGTCACTGGATTACGGTATGTAAAATGTTTTGTGGAAAATACCAGTGTTATTTACTATTTGAATGCAACAGTCGTCTTGGTATTATTTCAGAATTTCAATGCTATTTACTCAAAGTGGAAATAAAAATATGTGTATAAACTTTGTTGTGGTTGTGCTTATTAGTGATGGGGTCTGACCTTCATCATCATTGGTGAGTTAGGCCCCCTTTTTTCATGGGGATTACTTTGGGGTGGCTGCAGTGGTGCCTGACTGAAATGGGCATGTTACCCCCGCTACCTCACTGTGCCAGGTACTCCCGCCCTCAGCCCTCTGTCTGCCTGCTTTCCCTCCAAAGGCACACGCTAAGATGACCCGCTGCTCTGCTTTGCTGTTAGTCAGTGAATGTGGGCAGGCCCTCTGCAATAGCCCGCTGTTACACCTTACACCTTCTGCCTCCTCCGATTGGCTGAGGAGCATTGCAACTGTATCTAGACAAGTATGAACTGATTAGCTGTGGCCGTTTGTGTTATTTCCTCCGGTCAAAATTCATTGGAAGTGAACAACCTCTATGTGCAATGTTCAGGGATTGTTCTGTACTGTGATGGGTTGGTGCCCCATCCTGGGTTGTTCCCTGCCTTGTGCCCGTAGCCTGTGGGATAGGCTCTGGACCCCCTGTGACTCTGAATAGGATAAGCAGTTGCAGGGGATGGATGGATTGTTCTGTAGGAGGTTGTAAACATGGCGTGACTCATGGGGACATTCCACACCCCAAGATTCGGCTTGGCTGCGAGGTGTTCCACGTAGCGTGTGGGTGGTGATGGAGGACCCTGTGGCACTGGTACCCCGAGCCCTGGCAGTGTCAGTGTGGGCTGCCTCTTGGCTCAGTGTCCCACCAGCATGGTATGTGCATGACTCACTCTTGCCCCTGGCTGCTGCCCCTCTGATATCATCTGGTCTGAAATGGTCGGGCTTATTTTTGTCACCGGCGAAGTACACAACCAGGGTGCCGTGCAAATCCCTCTAGTTTCCATGATCCTTCTCGGCCAGGTGCAACGTAGCCCACAAACGTGATGTCTTACCAATGTGAATCCCGACATTTTAGATTTAAAAACAAAGCAAGTGCACACAGCCGTCAGAGACACTGACTGACATCAAAAGCTCTCCAAAATACAGCACCAGACAAAAGGCCGAATGCACTTTGTGGAAGCTAGGCTTTTTCCTAATGATTAATATTATATATTTTTCAGAAAAACAAATTGTACAAAGCAGAAGTAGTGCACAATGAAATATAAGAATTTTTGATTCTCAAAATGTACCTTGATAACAGCTTCACAAACATGAGACATTCAGTAAGGATTCAGCAGGAATTCCCTCAATTGTCCTCCCAGCTTTTAAACCAGTTGCCAGAGAGACAGGATGCCTGTATGCTGCTTCACTTTAACACTTCTGTCCAGTTTTTCTCAGACAGGTTGGCACCTCAGGTCATCGGTTAGATTTCTTCCGATTTTCTTCTTCGCCAGATAGGTGTTGCATTCATTATCCTGCTGAAGAATGAAGGCATAGCCATAATTTTTGGAAGTTAATGTCGTTGAAGTACGCTGTGACAGCCATGTTGGGTTAGACTGCCAAGATCATCAAGTCTGTCACCCGCAATGCAGCAAATCACCAAATAGGTGAGCGTCTAGTAATACCTACAGTAAAGTTCTGCCTGCCTGCTGCAAAGTAGAACATCAATAAGTTATGATAAATGTTTTTTTCTTATTATTTCCCTAAAATGTTTTCAAGTGCGTCAGAATTCCTGGTATTACCATTTTTCCTTTTTATTCGTCCATGGATGTGAGAGAAGGATTGCATAGTCTGTCAGACATGAGTATGCACTTGTTTACCAAAGTGAGTCTCTTTTTAACACTGAATAACTACTCAGATTAAATTTTCTCAGAAGGACATCTAGGACCATGAAGTTCCATAAAGACTGACCAAATAATAGCCACATGTCCCTCATCTAATCCAGGCACAACTCTCTTCAGTCCACCAGAGTCTGAATGGAGCTGAATGGAGCAATTCAAACCCAGCAGTAATGAATGAGTGGGAATAAAGTGAGTAGGATCCAGAGGGGTCTGTATAGATAATCAGGTACAGCTGGACTCCTTTCGATCTGATTCAGTGTGACTTTCCTAGGCTTCCAGTGATATGAATCTATGAGGCCAAAAAGAATCAAATAAACCTATCCAGGCTGCCAAACTATATTAAATTTGTTCTCCTACTTGCCTCGTGATATTCTGGTTCATTGCTGGTTGTTTTGACATATTCTGCAGGACTCAATTTGCAATAATACAATAACAAGCATCCACCTTTTTTTCAAGGTACTGGGCTTAAATGTCATTGCTCTTTTGTTATTCATTTATGAGTAAGTTGTTGGTCAGATAGAAAAACGAGCTAATCGTTTGAATGAAACATTGAGAGGTCAAACACCTCAGTCAATAGTGGGATCTAACCTGCTAGGTCTTTGCTCTTTGGACTCTTAAGGCATCTTAGGGTGTGGTGCCACCTGTCATGTTGTGTAGCTTAACTTGCCTCCTGATTGCCTGGGCCCAGCAACCCACTGAAGGGTGAACTTGAGTCAATAATTCAGTACGTTTTCCCCATCAATAAGAAATGCCTGCCCTTCAGCTGAGCTATTTCTGCCTTGTAACCCAAAACCAACTCATGGACATTTCCTATAGCATGACACAGCACAGGAAGAAGCCTCCCACAAACTCCGGGTCCCGTGCCTCAGATGTTCCCAATCCTAATCCCTGACATGCCGTTTTAGACTTCACTTACAACGCTGTTAGCATTTTCACTCATCCACAAGCACAGTAAGGTTGGAGGGGGCGTCTGTGACTCCAGGTCACAAGGTAGGGGACACCCTGTAGAGGGGGGTGTTGCTAGAATATTAAGACACCAGGGACCTAATCTGTCCAAAGATCCATCCATCCATCTTCTGTACCTGCTCATCCTATCCAGGGTTGGGATGGATGGGGCACACTCACACACCATTCACACCTACAAGCAATTTGGTAACTTCAATTAACTTCAGCATGTTTTTGGACTGTGGCGAGGGGGGGGGGGTGAAACTGGAGAACTGGAGGAAACCTCAGGATGACACGAGGAGAACATGCAAACTCCACACACAGGGACCCAGGGTGAAGACTTGAACCCTGGATCAAGAGGTGTGAGGCAACAGTGCTAACCACTGTGTCACCATGCCACCCCCTGGCTGAGGTCATCATATTGAATTTTCTCTCTCTGAAATTACTATAGCTGTAGCACTAGAAAGCTGTTGGGAAACACAACTCTGGACTAGGAGTGGAATTATAAAACTGATTTTATGGTTGTTAAAACATCTGAGCTGAACCAATCATTAGCGGCTTTAGCTCTGAGTGTCCCATGCAGGCTCATGATGCGTCTGCCATAGAGGATGTCAGTCAATCACAAAACACCACTGGAAATTGATCTTCACCCATTTGGCTTTGTACTGCACAAGCACGAGAGGAAGAATCCCAAGCAGACAGCCGAGGGCAGGCCCGTTCTTCAACACTTTTAATTTTCAAATTATCTGAGCATAAACATGAACAATAAACAACATGGTCAAGTGTCTGATGTTTACTGGCTGTTCTAGAAAATAACAGAAGTGACTAACATGGTAACTGGGTGGAGGTCCAGCAAAGTCTAGCTTATGATGTGGCACCTGAATCTTGCGTAATCCATTGCAGTGTGTCTTGTCTGTCACACCAAGTCGTCACTAGGCAACCCAAAGAAGAGCCGCTGGAGACCTTCAGACACGTTGTGAATAGGGAATGGCCTGAAAGTCAGCTCTGGCACATCTTATAAATGTTATATCGGATCTGACAAAAAATCCTGGGGCTTTGTGTAGCATTTCAAACAAGCAAACGAGACAGCCATTACTACTGAAAAGGCCATGTTCCTTATAATCACTGGAACTTAGCATAGTTCTTCAGATTTGACTTGATGCTGCAAATTCTCTCTCTCTCTCTCTCTCTCTCTCTCTCTCTCTCACACACACACACACACACACACACACATCAGGTAAACATATCTTTATGAGGACCGCTCATTCATTTCTATGGGAAAGCAAAGTAAAAACCAAGCAAAATACAATAATTTTTGCATTTTTAGTTTTTTCATTGCAGTCACAGATTTTTAGTAAATTGAGTTAAAACGGGTCTTCATCAAGTTGTGGGGACATTGTGTCCCCATAAAGTAAGGTATAGCCACTCACACACACACACACACACAGAATGCCCCATACAGATGCTGGCACAACTAAGACCAAAATAAAACTTCATCACTTGGTATGTTTTTTTATACTTCGATCTGAGCAAAACTTGCAGTGATTTCACAACCACACCCAAAGTCAGCATTTAAATTCAGATTAGTCTATTTTAGTAAACCGGCTCTACACCGCTTATTTCATTTGCCAGCATTAAGTAATGCTGTCTATCAACATTGCAATCGATTACCGCGTATTCAGACACATGCCACCGGCATCCTTGGCTCTCCGCACGCCGGTGTGCGTCTTGCTGGGTATGGGGGGCTCAGCGCAGCCGGCTTTGCCTGCAGACACCGCTCCCCTCTTCCTTATATAGGCGTCTTGCCTTACTGCGGCTGTCGGCGCTGGCAGAGAGAGAGACGGGAGCCAAGGGAGCCGCCCGGAGCCGCCGGTCCCCCTTTGTCGCCTGGCTTTATTTGGAGGGTCCCGGAAGCGTCTCTTGTCCCCTTTGACTGACAGCCGCCCTGCGAGCAGAGACCGCTCCGTCTTCGGGCTGGAGACTTGGCGGATAGAAAGCACTCAGTAAAATAAGGAAAGGAGAAATCACAGGTACTATTGTGTTATTATTCACTAATGCGAAGCTGCAGAGCACATGCTTAAAGATGTTTTATTGCTTTTGTGAGAGGGACAGCAGGTTGAATAAAGGGTCGGGTTTGGGGGGAGGGGTAATGTTATCGCCTGCGTTTGTCGCTTTCTGGTTCTCACTTTCACAGTAACATGCGGGATTTATATACATGTATTCACTTTAATGGCAGTGTCGGAATAATTATTATTTAAATACATTTCCTATGATTTCTTGCCCATATAATTTATCATCCCGACGGAAAAGATTGTAGCGGAGGACTTCTTGTACGCAGATAGATGGCTGTGCTTCTATTTAATGTAATTGCTGTTAAGTGGCTGCGATTGAATATATGTAGTTCACGTAGTTACTCGTATATTGTATGCTTTGCATAGTTTAGGATGTACGTATTTATGAATAATCAGATGAACGGGAAAAGACGCTATAGACGGTAAAGGTTACGGTTTGGTTACATGGCAGTTGGATGTGCGGCGTCATGATTCATGAAACTGGGTATAACGGTGTAACCTCAGGTGCCGCTTCAGCACAGCTGATCGCTTTAATTTACGACATTTGTCAGGGCTGCCCTGGTTTTCTGTGCGGGATTATTGATTTAGGCCAGCGTCCGTGCTGAAATACATCACATTATAGACCCCAGTTTTTGTGACTCATTACTGTGCTTAGCATTTTACTGTATGGGAAACTGATGAACGGTGCTCTACTCACTGCTGAGGCTTTTACAGAAGGTGCATTTTTGTATGCGTGACATTCTTGCCATCTGCCTTCTGTGTTATATAAACATTTCCCTCATTATAAGCTCAGCTGTATCCTAGGTAACAGTATACAATAAGCTGAATCAGTTCAGTCAATTATAAATCAATTATAAATGCATATTGTTTTACCAAGTGCAAAAATAGTTACAGTGTCTATAGCGTGGTGAGTTTGTCGCTTTTGCCTTTGCGTTTAAGTGCAGCAAAGTCAGGCGTAGATATTTCCCTTATAGGTGTTAATGTGCGTGCAAGCTCTGGCCATGAGCTAATGAGTGATAACCAGCTACTTGTTAATGCCAACATGTGAAAGTTTCGGACAGATCAGGTCTCCGCCTAGAGCCCCAGACCCTCTGCTGCCTGACGCAGCCGGACCCAGACCTTCAACTCGCCCTGATTACAGCTGATAGGCCTTTGATTAATGCTGCCTTTCTTTCCTGACTGAGAGCTGATGGTTCTCTTGAGGTCCTGCTACAACTAAGCAGGACCACCTCTTGAATTTGTAACTGGGTGCTGAACACACACAAGCAAATCACATTGTTTACCTTTTTCAGATTTTGGTATTTTTTTCCATATGATCCTCCTAGAGTAGGAAAGTTTTTCACATTACACCCCCTTGGCATCATGTGATCCTGACTAGACTTAAAAACCTCTGAATAAAATATTTATAATAGAGATGCAGCGATCCCATATTCGGATCGGTATCGGCGCCGATTCAGACCTTTTTACGAATCGAGTATCGGCCATACGTGACCGATCCACGTCCGACACTTACTCATTTAGTTTTTGGCAGTATCTAAAAAGACAGCTCCTATTTCGTGTTAAATCTATTTGTACAATCAATCGCACGCCAGTTCTTTCCCGTTTTAGATGTTTTGCGGCATTGAAGCTGAACGCTAATACTGCTACTCTGTGGGAGTGAGCGCGGTGACTTCCACCTGCTGTGACGTCATGCGCATACTATTTGTACGAAGAGGGTGACGACCTGGGACTATTTTACACTTTTAACAGCAACTGGTAGCACAGGGATTTGCAATCTTTGTAAAAATAAAGCTTTGAGAGGTGGGGGTAGCGTTTAGTGGGAAACCCCACTAAACAAAGCGCACGCAATTGTGCGAGACAACGCGAGTAACATGAAAAAAGCAGTGGATGGTTTGGGAGTCACTAGCTTGGGCTGTTTTGCACACTCGCTGCAGCGTGTGATACACGAGCGGCTGATGTCGCAATGATGTATAAGTGACGCTGTTGCCGGTGGGAGATTCCCAACTTGTGTACCCTCGCTTGGAAGATATTAAAACGGAACTGTAACGTCTCAAAAACAAGATGTACAAACGAGGTGGAACAGTACGATATGTATATGTCTAGTAGCCCAAATAAAGATTTTTTGCCATATTTTTTCCATCTGTATTTGCTATTTAAAAAATATAAATTAAAAATATTAAATATACATTTATTCTATTAAAGTAAAAAAAAGCTTTTGTATCGGATCGGAACTGAAAAAATGTGGATCGGCCGATCTCTGATTTATAACCTTGATAAACCATATGCATGATTTAACCAACATACACTGCCCGGGCAAAATAAAAGTCCCTATTTGGATTTTTCGTTGGACCACCTTTAGCTTTGATTATGGCGCACATTTGTCATGGCATTGTTTCCACAAGCTTATGTGGCTTATGTATCTCACCCTTTATTTTCATCCAGATTTGCATTCATTTCTCACTGAGATCCTGTATTGACAAGTGAGTTGAACCTCCATAAAGCCTCCTTCAGCACATCCCAAAGACCTTTGATGAGGTTAAGGCCACAACTCTGTGGTGACCAAGTCATGCATGAAAATGATTCCTCATGCTCTCTGAACCACTCTTTGACAATTCAAACCCAATGAATCTTGGCATTCTGGAATATACCCATACCAACAGGGAAGAAAACAATCCATTGATGATAGATGAAGGTGTAACCTGGCCATTCAGTAGTTTCAGGTACTCAGCTGACTTTACTATAGTGCTGCATAACGTTGCTGAGCTGTAATAATGATCCAGTCATTGGCTCTTAAGTATTTGCTGATATAAATTCAAATGGCACCTTTTTTTTTGGCTGGGCAGTGTATTAGGTTCTGTGGCCAAAATTCATGGACTGAAACTGACAATTTGATAGCACAGATGGATAATTAAGATACACCAGGTGAATTAAAACATGCAATTCAATAAGAACATTCAGTTTGGTAAATCCTGTAGATCAGCAGATGCACATAGAATGGATGTTGTCACATGGTTTTCGAGTTTATAACCACAAAATGACAATATTCTTGCCACCAATCACAGCTCCGGTTACATTTATTTCATACAGGGCAAATACAACAGTTTGTGCTTATTGGATGGATTTATTGTCTGTAGAACTGCTTACAAGGTAAAAACTTGTACATTTATATATGCAGTGGCGTATAGTGCAAGTACCGATCTAGACCAAGATTTTGTTTCAACCAACCAGTCACAGTCACATAGTCTTCAAAATCTTAGTCTGGATTTCAACTGTCTGGACCTGAACTATCCATCTATGCTAAAGAGCACTAAGATTGTCCAGAAAAGGAGGTAAATCTGGCATGAATGCAAAGTAACACATTCTCCTATGAAATGCTGACAAAGAGGTGTGGCTTTCTTACAGGGTGTGATGTCATCATAACTATGTATGTACTGTTTGTCCACAGCGGGGGGTGGGCACTTGCAGACTTTGCGAGGCTGGGGGCTCTGACTTGCCCCAGGATGCTGTCCCTACCCATTGTCCCCTGATGTTACGTGGGAAGTGGTGTCACTCAGTCTGGTAGTCAGAGGAGCATGGCCACCTTACGGAAATAGCCAGTGAGGCCCACCTCAGGCATTTGGCATTATGGGGAGAATTCTCTCACCGGATTATGAGATAGCACTTGTTCCATGCCAGCCAGCACCTCAATCATGCTCTTTGCTAGTGGTCTTCTGATGAACGTGTGAACAGTGTTGTACCTGTACTTAGGAGCTAGACATATGAATGCTCCATCCAGTGGTCAAAACTCATGGACTGATTTAATCAGTAATTATTGAGCCTGATCTGTGTTGAATTCTGATTTCTTATGGGGTATGGAATGTCCGTATTACTGGTTTAAGGTCATTAGATGCAGGGACTCTACTGGAAAACTATATTTTGATTCAGTGCATGAGGACTCCAGCTGATGAGCTCCAGCCTTTGGCTGTTCTTTTCATTGTCTTTGGAAGCCACTTGGATGTTGGGCTGCATAAAGTAATTATTTTCATAATCGATTAATCATGTGATCAGATGATCAACTAATCGGTTAGTTGGGCCAAAACACAGGTTTTAAAGAAAAGTGCAAATTCAAAGACGCTATTCCAGCCTTTTGTGGTTTGCCAAGTGAATGTAGTATGTACACAAGAGTCAGTGCGCATCGATTATGCTCAGACCGTAATGGCATGCAGAAAAGTGAAACATAAACCAGGTTTAACAAAGCAATGTTAATGTTGCTAGGTCGTGATGACGTCATACGCAATTTACGCGGCAAATCACAAAGATGCAGCCGATCAATGACAAAATTCTTTGTCGGCTATTGTTATTACAGATTATTATTGTCATTATCGATTCGTTGTTGCAGCCCTACTTGGATGTGAGTAGAGCTGTGGTGGAGAGTGAGCAGCCAGAGTGAGCAGCCAGAGTGAGCAGCCAGAGGGCTACAGACTGGCTTCTGCTACATTAACGAGTCACTACATAAACAGCGGTTGTCCTCCTCGTGCCTCAGCTCCGTTCTGTGTTGGACGAACTAATCAAGAAAGTGCTCCAGGCCAGTGAGGTCACCTTCAAACGTCAGGGGTTCATATCAGGTGCTCAGATGAGGTTTCTTCCAAGTAGAAACTGGATGTGTGTCGTGTGCTCAGATCCTAGGCACTGTGCAGTTTGATACACCTAGCCTGACTAGCTTCCCAGTGTCATATATCCTGGGTAAGGCTCTGCAATCCAAGGTCTGCTTAGAAAGCTTGTTTCACTTATAATCGGTTGGATTAATATCTGTTTTCTGCTGTGCTTGTCTAGATGCTCTCTTGATCATTACTGCGACCTTTTAGTCTTGTGACGACAGAGCATCAGGAGAACATAATGGTCTAATGATGATTTGCTGATATTACCTTTGCCGTGGCCGTTTGCTGGCTTTGTGATCAGTGTTGCCTTTAATGAGATCTTAATTATGTGACTATGGTACAGCCATAAATCGTCATACAGAACACGGTGTCAGGGTATATATTAATGTGATTGCTAAAAACGATGGAGGAAGGAGAGATTCTCAAGCAGTAGGGGTGTAAAGATGCATCGACGAATTGTGATGAATTGATTATTAAGGGGGGATTAGACGTAACGAACTATAACATTAGAATTTATTTTTGGGGGGCAAATAACAATACCAGAATGTGAATTTCTGAAATGTAGGATGATAGGGGAAGGCTAATTAATATTCATAAGGAAGCACTACCTGGTGGTCTTTGTGCTGTGGTGTTAATCTTAGTGCTATGATGAAGTTTTTCTGTTTTGTAGCGCAAAAAAGTCATTCTTTTTACAAGCTACGGTACCAGCGTTCAAGAGGTAATTAGCTAGCTAATCAAGACAGCATGAATGTTTGCTATGTTCTACTTGTCTCACGCTTTGGACGAAAGCGTCTGATAAATATGTAAATGTAAATGTAAATAAAAAGTAATGTTAGCCTTGGAGATGCATGACATATTGGTTAACATATCAACATCTGTCTGTGGTGTCAGTCTTAGCTGATTTTGCTGACTGATATTTATGTTGCGTACCAGAGGTTGGATGTCAGAACTGGGAATGACGTCACACACGAGTTAAACGTGTTCCACTACAATACGTCGGAAAGCCATTTAGCAATACCAGTGACCTGTTTCACAAAGCAGGATTTCTTACTGAGCCAGATAACTTGTAGGATTTAATTTACCCCAGTTTAAATAGTCTTTAGCTTCATTGACTTACATTTAGCCCAGTCTACCTTAAATCCGACAAGTTATCTGGCTCAGTAAGAAATCCTGCTTTGTGAAACAGGTCCCAGTTCTAGTCCAGGTAATTGTTTGCCATTGTTAGCAATATTACTTGATAACAGCACATTACAGGGTATTTTGGTATAAAAGCACCGTAGGAACATGTCCAGAGATAGTGGTTGGACTACTGTATGTACGACCGATTTAACGAGCCACAAATCAGACGGAAGTGTAATATACAGTATAAAACTACAGTTTTATCTACTGTTGATAAAGGGCGCAGCCATCTTGAATTCTGAGCTTGGGCTTGTGTAGATTCCTCCAACTTTCCATGTAGGAATTCTGACTTCAGGGGACGTTCCAGTTGAAATTTCTGACTTGGAACTAGGAATTTCCGAGTTACGAGTTCAGATGGAAAACAGCATTAAACTTTATCAGTATTTGAAGTTAGCTGAAGACACAACTACAGTGCTAAAATAATGGAAATGATGTAATTGGTCATTTTCCATAGTGTAGGATGAGGGATTTCTTCGGCTTATTCACCACATAGAAGAAGTCTCAAGGTACGGGCCGGCAACATAATTCTAATTCATTATTAAATTAATAACAATAAAAATGAATGCTCTGAGGTTCTACTTACTTTGTGTTCCACTAATACTGTGTAATTAAGTTCCCATGGCAATATCTGTACATTTTTTTAGTGAAATAAAGGTTTGAATCTACTTCATCAAAAATAATTTGGCAGTCCATTAATTGAATCGTGGTAGAGATTAAAGATTTCTGATATATTGAATCATTCCCTCAATAGTTGTAATCGAGTCACGTCATCTTGGGGCCAACGATAAACCCCTCTATCAAGCAGTGATCTTTCTGCAGAGAATCTTGTCTCATCCTAAAAGTGTGCTGGTGACCACAGGTGGCTTCTTTCAGAATGGAAATTCACAGATTGTTTCAGTCTTGTGGCTTGTTGTGACTATAATGGGTGGAGAAAAAGTTCTCGTACAAATAAGGAGCTTTTTGTTTGTGACCTGTGTCCCTAAAGCTAAACGCTCTAATATAATTTCTCTAATGTGTCTTTAGCAGGGAGCTGTGTGTCTCTCTGCTGTGGCCCTGCTCCAGGCTAATCTAGTTGTTTTTCACATTCCTCCAGTTAACACAGCATCCAGATGAAGGTGTGGTCTTATGGCTCTGGGTATATGGTCTCTGCTTGTTTATGGCCAGCTCTTTCCACTCTAACTTTTTAAAAAGTGTTAGTAAAGTATTAGTAAAAGTGGTTGGTAACACTTTACCTGAGGGGGCACATTGGCACAAGTAACTTTGTAACTCAGTTACTACTCAAGTACAGATCATGAACAAATATAGTAACTGAATGAAATACATATACCGTTATGATTGATTACTGATGAACGAACATGAGATCAGTATGTAACGAACTGTTAACTCCTGGTTAATTAATACATTAAGTAAGAGTGTACTACTACATTGTGCCCCCTCAAGTAAAGTGTTACCAAATGTTCTGTTGCATCCTTATCCATAGACTGAATTTTACAAACTCCAGCTTATGAAAAGGTGATAAAAATATTTGTGATAATCATACTTTTCTTTTAATTGAAAGGGGCTAAGGATACAGAAAAGGTCCACTTTGCTGATATTGCTCTGAGTCACTTGTGTAATCTCAGGGAGTCCCCCTTCTGACTCTCTTACGGGAACAAATCTCATGTCCTTGTGTTTTGCATGATCTGAAAATATTTTAACAGAAGAAAACCATCTTGGCCATTTTTAATGAAACTCGACAGGAAGAGCTCAGCACCTCTACTTTATATTAGTTAGATGATTTGTGATCAGATGATAAACAGACTTGTTTGCTCCCATCTCACCTGCAGCATGTCTATCCACTTTGCTGATCCAAACAAGATTTTTAGTCCAAATAGGGCCACCTGTGTGTCATTACATGCTATATCACTAAGCCCAGGATCACACTCCATGCCAACATGAGAGAGCACCCACATCCATCCCGGGCTGGTTACTCTCCTTCCAGTGGGCTGGTCCTCTAAAGCTGCAGACTGGAGCTTAGGATGACCAGGCATTTCAGCTTGACCAGGACAGTCCTGATTCCTGTCCCAAGAAACGATGGAAATATAAGAATATGTCCTGGTTTGATTAACCATGCTGAAGAGAAAATGCGTTTTAATCAGGGGCTGCAGCAAGTACCAGAGGTGGAAAGTTCAGATCCAGAGAGTAAAAATCCAGACCAAGATTTTGTTTCAACACACCAGTTGAATCCTCTGTGACTGTGACTCTTTATACTCAGCTGGTTGGTCGGTCTGGATTTTTGCTTTCTGGACCTGAACTTTCCACCTTTTTCTCAAATGAATGAGTGAATGTTTATGCACCGTTAAATGCACCATAGTGAATATTTATGCAGTGTGTTTTTCCAAAAAGCAATGCTGGATGTTTATGCACTACGAAATGAAAGTATAAAATAGAATAAAAATATATATATTTGACTTGATGTAGAAGCATGTGTTTATTTGTGTAAATGTCCCCTTTGGTGGGTCGACAAAATCTTCTGAAGGTGTCCCCCCAGCCCCCCGAGACTGAGTTGTATCAGACACTTACACACAAGGCACATACGTTTCATGCTTTGGGTCACCCTACTGGAGGTACCAGAGGTGTCATGTTGGAGAAACGGTATTTTGGGGGTCTCTGACAGTGTCATGACTGGGGTGAAGTCAGAGGCAAAATATGTGTTTATAAATATTGGTTTTATTTTGTTTTTTTTACAGAGTGAGTGAATGTTCACCGGACCTACTTACTGCTTGTAAACCCAATATGGCATTACAAGATAAAGTGAAATATTGTATAAAATATTGAAAATTGCTTTACTCTGTCCAGTGCGCATGTAAAGCAGTGACTGTGAAAGCCCGTAATCTTTTTTCTCATTGAATGTGAACTGAAAGTTCCGGAACCACGCAAAGCCCTCACTGTGCCCCCTGTCTGCCGCCTCCCAGGTTGTCCACCGCGGCGTGGGGAATGGAAGCGCTGGTGGAGCGTCTGGAACGAGCCGTGGTTCGTCTGGAGGCCGTGTCTGCCAGAGGCGTGGCGGACTGCGGCATCAACGGCATCAACGGAGGTGCGGAGTTACTCCCTGTGGATGGCTGGATGGATGGATGGATGGATGGATAAAGAAAGAAAGCAAATAAATACTGCATAAATAGATAAAGGTTACAAGAAAAGACAACAAAAAAGTGCAATGCTTGGGACAAAACAGGGTGTAAAAAAATGCATTTACTGGCTACTGCTTATTGTCAGTATATATAACCCTCCTGATGTATCCTTGTATCCTTGTGTAGGTTTTTTGGGTGTGCGTCTGCGTCACTATATCACGTTACTCATGTTTTCCTTACTCATGAAAACAGAGAGGATGATGGGAAGGATAACTCCTCTGTCACCAGTTATTGCAAACTATCACATGTTTCTAAGGCCGAAAATACATCTGCTGTCATGTGTACCATGCTGTGATAACAAACACGTCTAAGCGGCGTAGCTATTGGTGGAGAGGCGTTGAGGAGGCGTCTGTGTGTGTGTCCCTGCCCCCGCAGGCCTGGCGCCGTGCGTGGACGCCTATGACCTGCTGCTCTCCGGCCCCGTTTGTGAGTACCTGGAGATCAGCCGAGCCATCGGAGACGACGTCGCCCAGCATGTGAGCGCCCGCTGTCCCGTGTCTGTCCCCTAGGGAGCTCTCTCGAGTCTGTATGCTCTTGGGGGGTGGGGGGTGGACGAGCAGCTGGATAAATGCTGCAAATGGCCGAGGAGGTGCGCAGGAGCAGTGGGCTTTAATGCACTGACACGCAGAGAGGTGGGGGGGGCGGGGGGCAGGCAGACTATGGTGGCCATTGTGAAGAACAACAAGGCATTGAGAGCCATAATCTCACACACTTCCATCTGTCAGAGGTGGCGGTAGGTGACAGCTGCTGTCTTGATCTCTGTTCAGCTGCTATATGTACATATAAATATATATCCTCAACAAAGTCACACTCACTCACACAAACAGATGCCCCCCCCCCACACATACACAAACAGGGACTCCAGTGCAGGCACATGCAGACATACAAATGAAAACATGAAATGTTTCCATTTTCACCTTTCCCTGCAAGTGAGTAAAAGGCTCATTAAAATCCTCATTAAAGATCTTAAAACGCACAGTCCTGTTTTAAATGAATATTTAATGATGAATGTGAAAGGTCGAGCCTGGAAAAGGGATGTTGGAGTAGGTGCAGAAGGGACAGAATGTGTGCAGAGTGAAGACTTAGATGTGTGATCTGTGCATTTGGGGAGGGCAGGAAGCTGAAGGTGGTCCCTACCCTCGCGCCTTGGTGCGTCAGCTGCCCCCCCCCGACCCGCTGGAGCCCTCTGGGGCTGCTTGTGGATTTCCTGCCCAGCGCCGCCTGCTTTCCACATACTTTGGTCTATGTGTTATCAGCAGCTCCCAGTGGGGCCATCGTCCCTCGTGGCACAAAAGACACTTCGGTCATTAGCGACAGACAAAGGGGCATCGATTGCGGTTTGTTTTTGCTCCTACGGTATCTCACAAAAGTGAGTACACCCCTCACATTCCTGTAAATATTTAATTATATCTTTTCATGGGACAACACTGAAGATATGACACTTTGATACAATGTAAAGTAGTCAGTGTACGGCTTTATAACAGTGTAAATTTGCTGTCCCCTCAAAATAACTGAACACACAGCCATTAATGTCTAAACCGCTGGCAACAAAAGTGAGTACACCCCTAAGTGAAAATGTCCAAATTGTGCCCATTTTCCCTCCCCGGTGTCATTTTCCCTCCCCGGTAGACATTAATGGCTGTGTGTTTAGTTATTTTGAGGGGACAGCAAATTTACACCCCCGCCCCCCCCCACGGTGTCAAACCTCTTCTGGGGGCCCTCTGTACAGTCCAGCCCTGAGGCGTCCAGGATAGTGGCTGATGCACATTCGCTATGGTGCCTGCAGGTGTATCCCTGTGTAGTGGGACAGCCTGATCTGGTATCTGGGTGACACCAGCCACCTGTTATTACACCATGACTGAGCAGCATTGGGCTCAGATATGGTGATTCCTCTCTCTCTTCTTCATCCTCATCTGTGCCTCTCAGAAGCCTGACTTATGGCTTGCTGTGAAAAGTCCTTAGTCTTTGAGTTTGGGCCTTTGGTTGGGAATGTGGTCCCCAGAAAGGCTGTTTTATTTTCGGTATCCTAGGAAACGTTGTTATCGTAACAGTGATAGAGGCCTCTCCATTGACCTGTGGCTTGATAAGCTAATTTTGTCCAGTGAATGCATGTTCACCCACAACACGTCGATTAACTAATTGGTCTGTATGTATTCACCGGCCACTGTGTTATTAAATAGTTCATTATGTATAAATATACATAAAACAAAGATGTGGCATTTTAATAGAACCATGTCCACTGAATAGAATAATATAATGCTTTATTTTTTCTCTGAATTAGACATCAATTTCCAAGCAGATAAGAGGAAAAAGGGGGAATTCTTCCAGAGCTAAGTGGAAGTGCAGGACTTCTGTACAGTGATGTAGGGTGCAGCAAACCACAAGCGCTCTGCTCTCCTGGGCTTTTTGGGAACAGTGGAGATTATCTCCATCCACCCATTTTCCATAACCATTTATCCAGCTGAGGATCAAAGTCAGCCTGGAGCCTGTTCAAGGAGGAAGTGGGAAGCAGACCGGGGATGCCAGCCCCCTACAGGCAGCGCATGGACACTCACGGTCACTCACTAAGGGCGGCTCTCACACACCAGTGCACCTATACTGGAGGATTTGAGCCCGGTACCCTGGAGGTATAACACCACCTTCACTGTTCAGTTGCACTCTGGCTGATGTCACCACTGCGACAAGCCTTGTCCCCCTGCAGGTGGTCTTTGAGCTGCTATGTGTCACCAATGGACAGGAAATGGCACACATAGTACTGACAAATGTAACCCTCCCCCCCAGCTCTGTGTGACATTTGTCAGACAGACTCTTGTTTGTTTAATAATAGTGAAGAAACATTGCCTAGTCACATGATATCTACTTTCTTACAGCGGGAGGCGTGAGGGAGGTGCCCCGGGACTTTGGTAGCTTGTGCCAGCATTCAAGCGGAGTTTGTGTGGGGTGCTGAGATCCAGCTTGCTGCTCGGCCTCGGAGAAGGTCTTGATGTGCCACCTGGGGTCGTGTGATACGTGACGTCTCTTGGAAGCCGCTGTGTTTGAGGGTCAGAGGGAGACACAAGCAGAAGGATCTTTTACTGCAGGCGTCATTTTTGGCTTTTGGCTTCGTGTTTTTTTTTGGTGCATCTTTGGACGCGTAGGGGGAGGGACAGGCCCCTGTGATTAAAACAGGGATCAGATTCGAGTTAATCTGAAGTCCCAGTGAAGTGAGGTGTTAGCGGGTAAGAGCTTCTCGTAACCCTCACCAGGAAAGGCAACATCTATGCGATCTGGTGCTCTGTCTGTCTCTCTCGTATTAAAGGTGGTGTGTGTGTGTGTGTGTGTGTGTGTGTGGAGGGGGGGTTAGAGGGGGTTGTTAGGCTAATAAATAGTGTTTAAACTGTTCCTTTTATGGACAAACACTCTTCTTAGTTCTTTTGTGCCAGGAGAGGACTTCTTTGCCCAAATATGGCCAGTGTTTCCCTGGCACAGTGTGGAAGCAGGACTTTTCCAGGGTCTGGAGGGAGGGTGTGTGTGTGTGTGTGTGTGTGTGTGTGTGTGTGAAAGAGAGAGAGCGGGTGATTCGGGGTGTTTTACTTGAAGCCGCACAGTGTGGAAATACGTGATGGTGGCCTGGTTTTAGGGAAGACGTTCTGAGGGCAGTTTAATGTGGGTGTGCACTGTTGGGCCAGGAGCGCCAAAAAAGGCGTCTGAACTTGATTGATAAAAGCAAGGCGTAGCATTAGCGGTAGTAACACGGGACAGCTCACTGTTTCTGTGGGTCTCACTGTCTTCTGGGTGGGGGTGTGCGGGGACTGACACACGGCTCTTAAAATGTCTTTGTTCAATATGTCAATTTGTCCTCCACTGCAAATAAGCATACATGAGGACTGGATACTGTATATATAACATGTTTAAGTAACAGTTTTAAAAGTTGTGTTTACTTGTACTGTTGAGTATAGTGAGGGTGTGACCTTTGACCTTTGGGTCTCCTCGCTGCAGGCGGAGATGGTGAGCCGCGCTCTGCAGGTGCAGAGGAACTTCCTGAAGATCAGCAGCACACATCAGGAGCCTGCTCAGGTAGGTGGCTGTCTGAGTCTGCTCCTCCTATTCATCTGAGGGGAAAAACGTCGGCAGCCATGTCTGAAAATCAGCGGGGATGACTCTACAAAAACCACACAAAAAGTCCCAAATGTCTTGGCAGTTTTCGCAGAGTTTTGTATGGTTTATTTAAGATTTATTTATTGTATTAATAGTCAATGGGATATCCCCCATAGATGTAGCTGTGTGTGTGTGTGTAGCAAACATGCACCTCAGTCCAGCGCTGTTGCATTTTGCTGTTGCATTATTTCTTACAGCTTCAATGATTTACGGTTTAGCCACAGTAGCATGTAGCTCTGGCCTGGTATGAATCACACGGTAGTTTGCCAGCAGAACTGCCAGCTGAGACATTCCAGTCCCCTGGTTCATCCTTCTGCTCCGTCCTGCTTCACTTCCCACCCCCCACCCCCCCCTGCCTGTTTTCCGTCCTTCACATGCCGTAAAGCTGATTTCACGTGACTCCTCTTTTCTCTTAAAACTGGCCAATAAAAACAATCGCAGTAATAAACTTTGCAATCTGAGCCAGAGCTGAGCAAAATTAGTTGCCCCAGATTTGAATGATATTGCTGAGTGCCTTTTTTGGATAAGGACTGAGCTGACCTAGATATTCCGGGGTCTAAAATTTGTCCCTTTTGAATTGAATCACTAAAATATCAACAGCCAGGAGCTGTAGGCCAACGTTGTGTGCACGAATCTCCGTGTGCACGAATCTCCGTGTGCACGAATCTCCGTGTGCATGAATCGCCGTGTGCATAAATCGCTGTGTACGTGAATCACTGTCTGCGTGACCAGTGTGAAAGCCTTCAGAGAAAGCTGATTGATCTACCATCCAGCGCAGTAATGTTTCCAGCCCGTGGGGCCAGCTGCTGTGGGATTATCCCTCACCCAAAGAGCGCCAATGCAGCACATTCCCCATGCATTCAGCCACGGGGCAGCGGGGGTTAACGTGATGTCACCCTGCTAGCTTTAGGGTTTCGTATAGCTTGACAGACTGGTGGGAACAAAGCCCTAAGCCCAAAGGGAAGCGATTTAACGCTTAGAGATGCAGACAGTGGAGAGCAGAGGGGGACGGCATGTTGGGGTGTGGGGTATCGGCGAATCTGCGTGTGCTGGCCTGCAGGGTGACGGGATAGAAGGTGGGACAGGGACATGTAAGGGAAACCGGACAGCAAACTCAAGCAAAAGAAAGCAGTGTGTAAGATGGAGATTTGTCATTCAGATTGTCAGAAGGTACAGACTGATAGTGCTGATGACCCACTGGCCAAAGAATCTCCACAATCCCCTTAGTGTCTGGCCAGGGACCTCCTATTACCAAACACAAGGACCCCATGTCATCTTAGGGTGCTTTTACACCACACCAGGTACGGTACTTTTGGTACCTGGGGTACTTCTTTGGTACTTTGGGGTGGGACTACAAATAGCCTGCCTCTGAAACACAATACAAACACCACCTTGAAAACAGTTGAGAAGTCAGAAAATAATGATAAATGAAGCAAAAAAAAAATGCAATTTGGTTATAAGAACATATACAACAAAAAGATGTAGATGGCATGACAAGAAATTAAAAAGTATTTTGTTGAATAAACTAATAGGCCTACAGCAGGCATATAGTGTGTTTTATCTCCTAGCGATATGTTCTTATTAAAAAGTAAAAAGTGATTATAATTGTCTCAGAGAATGTATGCAGCGCTCATACAAAAGCAGCAGAGGTAAACTTTAAACTGATCTTTAAACCTATTAGAATCTATAAAAGGAATAATACTCAAAATTGCAAAGCTTGCTAAGCTGTTTCTCCTATGAGAGAGTAACAGAGTAACAATATTTTAGCAAAACTTTCACCCCTATTCTATAATGTTCGTACAGAATTGAAAGTAAGAAAAAGCCTTATTTTAATATAGCTGACTAGCGATGTAAGAATTGGATGTGTATAATGTCATGAACGCATGGGCACGGACCAGAGAAATAGGGGCAGGAGTCAAGGAGTCGAGTGAACACGCTAAACCCAAAGACCCCTTATTGCTAAACCCAAAGACCCCTTATTGCTAAACCCAAAGTCCCCATAGTGCTAAACCCAAAGACCCCTTTGCACTAAACCAAAGACTCCATAGCACTAACCCAAAGACCCCATAGCGCTAAACCCAAAGACCCCTTATTGCTAAACCCAAAGTCCCCATAGTGTTAAACCCAAAGACCCCTTTGCACTAAACCAAAGACTCCATAGCACTAACCCAAAGACCCCATAGCGCTAAACCCAAAGACCCCTTAGCACTAACCCGCAAGCCTCTTTAACACCAGACTCTAGATTCCTTGGTATTTGCCGAAAGCCCTTTCGTCTCCAGTTTATGACCCGTGACTGCTGCTCTGTACAGACTATAACCAGCCTGCCCCATTTAACATTAAGCCCAGCCCTAGGATATGGTCGTGTTAGAGCCCCAGCTGGCGTTGGGCCCAACTGTGGCCATTGGATCACAAGGGGCAGGTACGGGGGGACGCTCTGCTTTTGTGGCTCCGAGTGCATGATTGATGCACAGCCAAACCAAATGGGGGGGGGTGGAGCAGGAGGAGTCACCCTTCAGTGCTGGACACACGGCCCCTTCATACCTGGGCAGAAGTTTGCATGTCTGAGCTTCACTGTAGATAAACGGGTGGCTGTTGAAGCGCTTCCTCTGCAGGTTACTTCCTCTATCTTTCACACACACACACACGCACACACACGCACACACGCACACACACACAGAGTGCATACAGGATGCTGTCTTTCCAGCTGCTCTGTCTCTTCCAGCAGAAGCCGCAATAACAGCGGCCGCCGTGCAGAGCTGCAGGCCGCTGGGAGGATCCTCTGGCTCTGGCAGGCCGCTGCTGGGATCCATGCCTTTTTATGGCCATGTTCTATATTTGCATGTGTGTGAGTGTTTGTGTGTCTGCGCTGCAGCTGTTCCCTGCCCCTCCGATAGACCCCCCCCCAACCCCCACTCTGGAGCCAACCAGCCGCTATCCTCTGACATCACAGCCAGCCATGTTTATGTCGTGTTGTGGACGAGCGAGATCCTGCCTTTGTCCCAAACGCCTCCCCCTCATGGATCTCTGCTTTTCCCTTCGTTATACGGATACTGAGTAACTTTCTAAGTTTCATCCCTGCCTTCTCGCAGCACTGAGATAACGGGGCTATTTTCATCTTTGGAGCCAGGGGACAGAACGGCCTGAAATCACAGACCAATTAAAACTCTGCACCTTACAGCTGAGTTACTAGCAATTCTGATATTCTGATTGTGTATATACATGCAACCGAAATATTTTAAAAACTGTGTATATAAAATACATACTTAGCAGAATAGAGATCAGTTCGGATTCTTGCAATTATCAGTTGGTTATCCTGGGCTATCCCTGTCTGTCTCTGGATATCTCAGGTTATCCCTGTCTGGCTCTGGTTATCCTGGGCTATCCCTGTCTGGCTCTGGTTATCCTGGGCTGTCTCTGGTTATCTCAGGCTATCCCTGTCTGGCTCTGGTTATCTCAGGCTATCCCTGTCTGGCTCTGGTTATCCTGGGCTATCCCTGTCTGGCTCTGGTTATCCTGGGCTGTCCCTGTCTGTCTTTCACTTTTTCGGGACTATCCCTATAGCTACGAGTATGTCGTCTGGGGTGTCGGCTGATAAGTAAAAGCCGTTTTGCCCTGATAAATACTGCACATGGCAGCAAACCCCCCGGTTCCCCCTGAGCCCTGTCCTACACGGCTTTGTGATTCACTGCTTCCTCGCTGTTACGGCAAGAGTGTGACGATTTACTTCCCTCCCATTAATCACATTTTTGATGCTTTTAGCGTTTAGGAGGGTGGCAATGTCCTCTCACACCCTTGTGGCTTGTGTGTTTCCTCATATCGTGCACGTTTCCTCCTGTAATCTAAATACATTCAGCTAGACTAATTGGCTGAACTGTGCCATGTACGTGTCCTGCGATGGACTATCATCCCACACAGGCTGCACCCCAGCCTAGTGCCCTCTGCTGCTTGGGATAGACTCTAGGCCCTCCAAGAATGAAGGCAGGATAAATGGCTAGAAGATGGATTAGAATTTAGAAGGTTGTCTTAGAGCATTGATCTGATGAGCATTTTAATCCCAGTTACTCACAATGATGTATATTATGGCTATATTTGTATTCCCTGGCCCCCTCTTTGTGATCTGGAACTGATTAAATTTCGAGACAGACTGCATGAGTCTGAAGTACTGAAGTAGTGCTTCATAATTATAGAAAAGTTATAGCAGTTTTGGACACTTGATGCCATTAGCATGAGAAGTATTTGATGGATCTGTTTCAGACTTTACAGAAAGATTCTCTGGCTGATTAAATTTTGAGACAGATTGATGGCAAACAAAAGGGCAATTTTGACCCAAAAATTATTTGAGGGATTATTTTCAAACTTTGCAGACACATTGTATGGGTGAACAACTGGACATGATCAAATTTTGAGACAAATTGACCCCAATGTCGGCAACACTCCCTAGTGGCAGCAAAGGAAGGGGTGAAAGCAGACGACATTTGACCTTGTGAGTGTGATAAGTCAAAAGGTGTTTGATGGATCTTATTACTGCTTCAAAAACATTATATGGATGATGATCTACAACTGATTTTATTTTCAAGACATATTGCCCCAAAATAGAAGCAGCAGTGCTTTGTGGCAGCAAAGGAAGAGAAAGACTTGGTTTTTTTGGACAAAGTAACTCTAAGGATCATCTATGCAGGCGTATTGTATGGGTGAATATCTGGAAGTGATCAGGAACAGCTTGGCCTTGTGAACAGGATAACTCTATTTGATCCCCTCCACCCCAGAATGATTTATTGTGTGGAACTTAGTGGATATTTATCGCTGGGGAAAGTTGGTCTCTTTTTTGGAGAGGTGGGGAGAGTGTGTAGGGTAAACTTTGGTGGTACGATATTTTTGTTATACAGTGGTATATTTATGCAGCAGAATTTATTGTAGTAGAATTTCAATGTGTCATTTGGACTTAGTCCTAGTCAGTGGTAACACATTGAAGAATAGGCACAGATCTGGTGAACCTGATTAGATTAAGACAAGTTAGGCCTTTAATAAAGATTTTTTGGAGGGGTGGGAAGAGTGTCTAAGGTAGGCTTGCATATTATTATAGTAATATTATTGGTTAATTGCAGATTTTCCGTTCAGCAAAATGTATTGATTAGATCACGCCAAAGCCTAATGTTGGGGGCTAGAGAAAGAGGTTGGTGATTGTGGGATTAGATGGGGGGGGGGGGGGGGGGGTGATGGAGCCATCCAGGGAATACCTGGACATGGCCATTGACAAAGTTAGAAATTAAAATAATAATTGTGTTCTTCAAACTTAGAGTGTCAAAGAGTTCTCCATTTGCCTTGTGGAACTTGGGCATTCTAGATGTCCGTTTGTTGGTAATCTGCACCCCGTGCTTCCTGAAACACCTCCCACAGGTTGGATTGGCTTATTGGGCACCTCTTACATGCCATTTAGCCAAGCTGCTCCCAAACAGCTCAGTAGAGCTGAGACCCGCTGACTGTGTTGGCCACTCCATTACACACAGAATATCAGATGACTGCTTCTCTCCTAAGTAATTTGGAGCTGTTTTTGGGTCATTGTCCTGTTGTTGGACAAACTGGCTCCAATTAAAGGTGTTGCCTGGCCTTGCAAAATGGAGCGATAGTCTTCCTTCTTCAAGATCCTTTTGACCCTGTACAAATCTCCCACTTTACCATCACCAAAGCAGCCCCATCCCATCGCCTCCACCATGCTTCACAGATGTCATCAAGCCCTCCTCCAGCGTCTTTTCATTTCTGTGTCTTACAAACGTTCTTCTTTGTTATCCGAACACCTCAAACTTACATTCATCTATCCATGGCACTTTTTCCCAATCTTCCCCTGTCCAGTGTCTGTGTTCATTTGCCCATGTCAGTCTTTTCTTTTTCTTTTTATCTTTTTCTATACAATTGTGCCTAGAAGGCCAGCATCCTGGAGTTGCCTCTTTACTGTGGACATTGAGACTGGACTTTTTCAGGTACTATTTAATGAAGCTGCCAGTTGAAGACCTACGAGGCGTCCGTTTCTCAAACTACAAACTCTAATATATCTATCCTCTCGCCCAGTTGTGCACCAGGGCCTCCCTCTCCTCTTTCTGTTGTGCTGTGCTGCTCTGTGAAGTGCATAGTACACAGTATTGTATGAGATTCTGAGGGGCCTGTACTGTATCATGAAGTGAGATTTGTTGGTTATCTAGATACAGTAACTCTCTGTGACTGTAATTAAATTCCCTCCACCTCTCTGTCTTTACTGGAGAATCTGTTTGGGGCTCTGATTAACTTTTTTTGTACTCTAGCCCATGTCTATCCAAATGCAGCATCCAAACACAGGTCTGCATTTTTCTCCTCACTTTGTGGAATTTTACATTTTTGAGTCATTTCTCTGGAAGATTTTTTGTTCCCCTTTGACCCTGAAAGAGGACTCACCAGCATACTGGATATCAACATCTGTTTCCAGTTGTTAATGCAGCGCTGTGACCCTCTCCTGATTTGCAGTATGTTATTGTCTCTATCTGGGCAAGGGCCTGTATCATGAAGTGAGATTTGTTGGTTATCTAGATACAGTAACTTGTCAGATATAAGGTAACCCAATTTTTTTTAATCTTTGTTCACTTACATTTATCCTAGGCTACCTTTATTCCAACAAGTTAATCTTGCTAACCCAAAAATCCAGCATGAGATGCATCTCCGTGTGAAGGTCAAGGCCTTGATGCCGTGTTGGCCCTTCTTCCAACAGTGTTGGCCCTTCTTTTTCAAGACCTCTGCAATTCGCAGGCCCTTTTGTGGCAGGGCTGAAATGCAGTGGAAATGGGTTTTTTGGGATTAAGTTCATTTTCATGGCAAAGAGGGACTTTGCAATTAATTACAATTCATCTGATCACTCTCCATAACACTCTGGAGTAAATGCAAATTACCATTCAAAAAACCTGAGGCGGCAGACTTTGTGAAGATCGATATTTGTGTCATTCTCAAAACTTTTGGCCTTGACTATAGTTATATTTCGAAACTGACAAGAGAATAATTTCTCTGGTCAAACAAAACTGGAACTAGAATGTCACATGTTTATCCAAACTGGTTAAGAGATACAATCTATGAGCAGATTCAAAAAATAGAAAAACATCTCCTTTATTACTGTAACCCCTTCAAACTTGCGAGGGTTAGGGGCGAAAGATCCCCTTGAATGTGAAATTTTTCAAATAATACTTGGGCACCCCTAATCTCAACCCATAACAGTCTGCTAACCTGAATGATTTTCATATAGTATACAAACCCTGTATGCACAAAGCTACTTCTGTACACACTGGGAGCACAATGTTTTGAACCCGTTTAAAAAAATGCAAAATTAATGGCTGCAAAATTAACTTTTCTGAAAAGTTTAATAGAAACAGCGAGAAACGTGAGATTCCACCGTCACAAAGACAGCTAGCAGATGAGCCAGGCTTACCGAGACAAAGATGCACAGCAAACCAAAGCCAAGACTTTTAATATTAAAGACCTAGTATACACTTACACCAACAGCTATTATGTAACACTAATATTGATATATTAATTCATTTGATGTGATTCAAGTATTGTTTTTGGCGTACACGTCGTCTGTGACTTTCTATGGTCTTTCGGTAAGCTCCAGAGATATTTCTGTTTAATTGTTCATGGCCAACTTACCAACAACCAAGACCGTGAATATCAAATTTGCAAATGTGAAGGGGTCACTTTACTAATTTAGTTTAAAAAGTTGTTTTTTTTGATCCATGTAAAATATTGTTTAATCGTTGTTGGCTGTAGGATGATCTAATAAAAAACCTGAGCAATTTATTACCCTAACCCTCGGGGGCTCTACATCTTCCGGTGTGTGTGTTACTGCTCAGTTTCAGAATTATCGGTTTGGGACAGGATGTAACAGCCCGGGGACAGAGGCCTCTTCACCCTGGCAATAAAAATCATGTGCTGTTGATTGGGCTGAACTCCAGGAAGCCATTTGTGTGGCAGACTGACACACAGGCCGGCTCTCTGTTAGTCACACACAGAGACAGTGTCCCCCTCGGCAAGTCAGAGGCCTGCTGTGCCTGAGACTGAGAGGACGTTCAATCTCTCATGCTCTTCCAGGTCCCCCAATTCTGTTTAAACGTTCATGCTGTGTCCCATCCCCTTTGCTGGTTTTGCCAACAAGGTCCATCCACCGCTCTCGATGCTCTGGGTCATGATGTCGATTTATGGTATAAACAGCATGAAATTATGTGCCATATGTTGTCTTTGACCTTAAATTGTGCAAATCTGTGGACAGGTGATGATAAATATTGAAGTGTATTTTTTGAAATCCCTGAAATGCTCTTGGATGATCCTGAAGCTTTAACCTGATGGTCCTACTGCCTTGAGGTGATGGTCCTACCGCCTTGGGGTGATGTTCCTACAGCCTTGGGGTGATGGTCCTACAGCCTTGGGGTGATGTTCCTACAGCCTTAGGGTGATGGTCCTACAGCCTTGGGGTGATGGTCCTACAGCATTTGCATGATGTTCCTACAGCCTTGGGATGATGATCCCACAGCCTTGGGGTGATGGTCCTACAACCTTAGGGTGATGTTCCTACAGCCTTAGGGTGATGGTCCTACAGCCTTAAGGTGATATTCCTACAGCCTTGGGGTGATGGTCCTACAGCCTTAAGGTGATATTCCTACAGCCTTGGGGTGATGGTCCTACAGCCTTGAGGTGATATTCCTACAGTCTTAGGGTGATGGTCCTACAGTCTTAGGGTGATGGTCCTACAGCCTTAGAGTGTTGGTCCTTGTCTTTGCATGGGTGACGTTGTGTGAGTAGAATCGAGGGACAGCAGTAACCAAGTAGAACCAGCAGTTGTTCCTGCCACTTGTCTTTCAGGTCTGAAATTTCAAATAAGGTTTGTTTCCTAAGTGAGAATGTTAACAATGGTCGGACATTGTGGAGAATCTGGAGGAGAGCCCTGTGGTTTTTAGCAGGACAGACATGAAAGGGCCTTTCCCCTGGACCTGTAATGTTTCTGTCCCCTCTAAGGAACGGCACAGGAAACCTGAGGCAGATTGTGCAATTAGCAGCAAAGCGAGCAGAAGCAGTCACATGCCTGGGGGGGGGGGGGGGGAAGGGTGCTCTCCAGCTGAGGTGTAAACAGTGAATCAGCACAGCGCCTTACAAGGAAGGGGGTCTCCCTGTGTGAGGGCTGTGCTGTGGGACGGGCAGTGGAGGGCTGCCTGCTCACAGATAGCATCCCAGCTGATACTGGAGCCGTTAATACTTTCCCAGAATCCCAGAATGAGGGCCATCATCCCTGCACACTTCACAGAATTGGGTGGGGGGGGGGATCTGTGTCAGACTGCGGCCTGCCTGGCTCTCACCTCACACCCTGTTATTTCACTGTTCTCCCTTCACCCCCCAGTCAGAGCTCATGGACCTACTGAAGCCCATATCAGACAACATCCAGGAGATCCAGAACTTCCGTGAGAAGAACCGCGGCAGCAGCATGTTCAACCACCTGTCGGCGGTCAGCGAGAGCATCCCAGCCTTGGGCTGGGTGGCAGTGGTGAGTGCGACGGCGTGTGGCTCCAGCAGACGGCCTCCGCCTGCTCCACACCCAGCACGTGAAGCCCTGCAGCCCAGTGATTCCCAAACATGCTCCTGGCAGGTTCTCCGCTAACTCTGCTCTTACTTACTCTTACTAATTAGGTTAGTTAATTCATTGAGCTGGTGTTGAAACTTAGCGTATCCATGGAATGGCTGGGGTGCCCCTGACGAGAGGTTTGGCATCAGAAGATGTTATAGCATCCAGCATAGCATCAGTAACGTTTCGGACAACAGAAGGAAGTCTAGTTTGTTTTTTTGTGTTACTTTTAATTTGCCGATCTTATTAAATGGTTTTTGTTTCTGAGCAAATATACACATACTACACAGATAAATCGTTTTAAACATTTCCTTTGGCTGCTTGAGGCTTTTGCTCAGTGCTGTTTAATTGCTTTTCTGTCATTAGTTATTCCCAACAATGATTTGCTTTAATACTAGTCTTCAGGTAATGCATTCATAACATGATCTTAATTAAAATTTGTTCAATTTCTAATTTGAGCCACAGCTGATTAAAGCCTAATTAATAAAGGGCAGAGCTGGATGAAACAGAGGGTTGGGCCTTGAGGACCAGGGCTTGGCTGTGCTGCTGTAATTTATATGCAGTGTCTCACTGCTTACTGCAGTACAACAGTGCCCTTTACCATGGAGACTGCGCTGCACTGCAAAATATTCAGCAACTGTATGCTGTTTTCCTAATCTTGTCTCCCGACCCTGATATTACATGATTCATTTTTAAGGCGGGAATATGCCATAAGATCCCAGTCGTATACATACCAGTCTTTAATGTCCCTTTGGATGCTTATGTTTTTATAATATCTGATATTAATGACACCTAATCCACACAAAGCAGGATTTCTTCGCAACAGGAGTTGGGCTAACAGTAGATAATATTGAGATAAGACCCTTATTTTATGTTCTGTTGAAGTTAATGCAGACTCGCCTGGCATAAACACCGAGGAATTACAAAGGCGCTTACCTTCATACACACAGGGATGGGGTCATTAATATCTCTTATGGCGACAGCTTTTCTAACCATGGTCAAATGCAATTAATGATTAAGCTTCTCCTGTCGCAAAAAAGCCCTGTAATTTCAGACAAGTTCTCCTGGAAGTCTCCGGAAAGCCAGTTCAGCATGGAGGCTGTTTCTTCTTACTTGCTGTCTCTGGTGATTCTCATTAGTCTAACCTGATACTTGTGTGAACCCCCCCCCCAGTGTCATATAGACATAGCGCACCGTGCAAACAGTATCCATACTGACCGCCTCCCCCCACAGGGACAGAAGCCAGGACCCTATGTGAAGGAGATGACCGATGCAGCCACTTTCTACACCAACAGGGTCCTCAAGAGCTATAAGGATTCGTGAGTGGCGCGTTTCTCTCTTCTCTGCGATGCTCTTAGGACCTCCGGTGACCATCAGCAGTAAGAGGGAGGGTTATAAGAGCCAGGCTCTCCAGCAGATAGGAGCAGGTGGCTGCTCTGCAGGGGGATGCATTCTGGGAACTCAACACCCTTAGCTTGTTTCTGTCTCCGTCCTCCTCCATCTTCTTGACCTGCCCCCCCTCCATTCGCTCTCTTCAGGGACAAGCGGCACGTGGACTGGGTGCGGTCATACCTGAGCATCTGGACCGAGCTGCAGAGCTACATTAAGCAGCACTACACCACGGGCCTGGTCTGGAGTAAGAACGTGAGTCCAAATCATGGTTACCCCAAGCATTTCCCATGATCCCTCTGTCCTCAGGATTTACAGCTAAGGAAATGGCCGTGTTACTGAGGGACAGTTAGGAATCTTCCCTTCCTGTCCCCATGGTTGCAGTTGTAATAGTTAAAGTTTAATGCCACTTGCATTCCTTCCTAATGTGGCCTCTCGCTGACATACCCATCAGCCGAATAGCTGTCATTGTAATGGATCTGTAGGAAATGCGAGTATGTTTTCCCAGTAAAACCAGTGACACAGCACAGTGTTGTTTCTGTAATCCCACGGCCACCTCTAGTCTCCTCCCAAGATGATCAATTTCACCACAGCAGTTCACCTCATCTGTCTTCTGTTTGGGGTTATGGCTGCCGTTAACTATCAGACGCCCATGCAGTTACGATTTAACCCCACCGTCAGATTACCCTGGTTAATATTACCGCAAAACACAGCTGCTGAGTAGAAGCTGAGTATGTAAACTAACCATCAGCATGATACTTTGTGTTAATGTTTGTTATTACTGAGCTGTGCTAACAGAGGCTAACTATGTAAGTAACCCTCTCTGTTCGATTTCGTTTTCTACCTGCAAGATTACTAAATGAAGTTTAAATACAGTCGATCCATCTGCATCATGACTGTCCTCATCGTGGTTTCAATATATTGTGGAGACAGCCTAAGAAGTAATTGGGAATTTTTTGGGAGTTTAGGAGTCTAGTGAAAGCCACAGGCCAGCAGACAACACACAAAAAGTTTAGTAACCCATCAAATGCTGGTATGAACAGTGCTGGTTTGGAGGACACCATGCCGGTTCACGGCAGCCTCTCCTGTGATATCTCACTATGATCTCTCAGTGATCTTTGTATCTTGCGTATATCGTATATTTTTCATTTTGCTTTGTCTGCTCACATGCTCGCTTCACTCACCAAGGGGATCGGGTGGGCTGTGCCCCTAACCCCTGCCATGCGGAAGGTCGATTCTAGTTCAGTGTACAGTTCAGGGTAAATCAAAAAGTACTCATGCAGGAAACAGGAAATCCACTCAAATGGATTAACTACTGGAATTAACAGTCTGCTTGGAAAGACAGTCTGCCTGGCGAGGTGGTCTGCCTCGGGGGACAGTCTGCTTAGGGGAATGGTCTGCCTGGAGGGGTGGTCTGCCTCGGGGGACAGTCTGCTTAGGGGAATGGTCTGCCTGGAGGGGTGGTCTGCCTCGGGGGACGGTCTGCTTGGAGGGACGGTCTGCCTGGAGGGGTGTCTGCCTGGGGGGACGGTCTGCCTGGGGGGACGTCTGCCTGGAGGGGAACCACGTGTTCCCACTTATTTATTTAGCAGATGTTTTAGTCCTAAGTGATGACCAAGTTAAGAAAGCTTGGGGTCAGAGGTCAGAGTCAGCCTACATTTAGCGCTTGAGGCAGTTTAGGGAACTAATGTCCAGAAGTGGTGATATTACTCTGCCGACCACAGGATTTGAACCCACGACCTATAGACATGGGTAACGACCCCGAACCCACGCGACTCTCAAAACAAGAAGCCACTGTCTGCTGTAATTGTTGTGACATGGGCCCTGAGTTACAGCGATGAAGAGCCCTGTACAAAGTGGCCATTGTAGCACGCAGATTGGGCCGTCTGGGTGCAGCTTTTCAGGCAGGTAAACGTGGCCGTCTGGGCGGCTCTGTGACAGCTGCAAGCCGCCTGGCAGGCAGAGAGGATGATGTTTCTTGGTGCTCATTTATTTATGTCAAGGGTGCAGCCTTCAGGCGGTTCTGGAGTCAGACGCTACGTCTGTCCGCTGCTCTGCTCCGTATCATTGTCAGGGTTATGCTGACGGCCCCCCCTGGAGGCCTGAAGTGTGTCCTCATGCAGCAAGCCTCCAGCTGGTCCCAGGTACCACAGGGCACACCCTGGACAGGCTGCCAGCCCAGGACACGGCACACACTCACAGGCATGATTTAGGACTATAGGAGAAAACCACACAAACCTGGCAGCAATCGAACTCTGGAGGTTTAAGGCTCTGCTCAAAAAGCCACTATTCACTGAGCAGCATTGTTCTTTATAAAACATTTACTAACTGTCTGTGAATTATAGTAGAACCTCTTTCTGTTTCACTACTGAGAGAATAATTATTTCTAGCGTTTTTTCAGGGACAAATTGATCATCTCATTGATAGCAGAGATATAACTGTACACAACTGCATATCCAGGTTCCAAGGAATCATTTCTGTCATTGTGAGAGATACACACAGATCAGCCAGGATGATCTGAAATAAAGGCTGTAATGAGAAAAAAAGCTATAGGGATCTGACTCTCTTCAACGTAACACAACTTGAGTCCTTGAGTCCTACAGGAGTCTTACAGGAGATGCTTTGACTCCAAAGGCAGCAATGACATCACTGTGTGGGCTCTCTTTAAAAGACAGGCTAATTAAGCAAACAGGCAAAACCCTTTTCATTCATGTAGTTTTTGGTTTGTAATACAGGCCAGCGTTGCATAATGACATTTTTGTCAATGACGGACCGCATTTACAACGGTGGTTCTATTAGAATTTAATGGAGCTGAAAAATCCCCATGGCCTACTGATGTCATAGCCATTGTAACGTTGCAGTGCAACACATTACTGAAATGTCTGTGGTAATGCTGGTGTAAACAAACCTGCTGCACTGCCAGTCTTGTAAAAATATAGCATATACAATAATGTACAGTACATAATACTTGGTAATGTTAATAAACAACTATCTTACTGGTTTATGTATTTATTGTACTGTACTTTTAATCGTTATTTTAGAGTGTACTGTTTCTGCTTATAAGAAGAAACATTTACTATAGCCTAGGCTGTAGTACACTATATCACCTAGGTTTGTGTAAGTTCACTCTATGATGTCGGCATAACCATAAAATTGCTTAACAACACATTACTCAGAACTGTTTAGCAACGCATGACTGTACACTATTATCCATCTATCTCCCATAATGGCTTATCCAGGGTCATGCCAATCCATTGTGAGCACACACACACACACACACACACACAACGAGCAGTTTAGAGGCACCAGATCAGCTAAGCACATGCTTCGGGGTGGCAGGTGGGGCCCCATGAGGACAAAGGGAGACTGTGGCAGCTCCACACCGGGAAACCAGGCGTGGGAATC